TTCGAAGCAAGCTGTTTCAAACCTTGTTGAGAGAAGCCTGGATTTTCCATTCGCGGACGGTAACTTAGATGAATCTACAGCTGTTCTTAATAACGCTTTGAAAACGTGTACCAATGAACTAGTTGAGCAAAAGTTTGTTTCTTTGAAAAACTCGAACAGCTGGTACAATTTGGATCTTTTGCGTCTTAAACGGAAAAGGGACAAATGGTACAAAAAGTTTTGTAGATCTAATAATGACAATCATTGGACTAGGTACACAATCGCGCGTAATAAGTATTCACAATCGATAAAGAAAACTCGTTGTGAATATGTTCAAAGGAAGATTGATCAGCATCAAAACAACAGCAAAGAGTTATGGAAAATTTTGAAATCTTTATTAAAACCTACACATTTAGATTTTTTCGCCGAGATGGGCACCACCGAGCAGCTCGGCATTTTATTTTGCTGGATCTCAGTGAAAAACTTGCCGAGATTTAGCTAACAAACGGGAATTTTGCCGAGATCTCGGCTAACAAACATAACTTTTAATGGCACATTAAACTTTTAATGGCACATTAGAACAGTTAGAACAAGTAATTGCATCTAAGTTTAGTGATTATTTTGTCGAAAGTGTTTCATTGATCAATCAATCCATTGAATTGGTCGATGAACCTGACGAAATAAAACAGCCAGTTAATAGTAGTTGTAGATTGGAAGTTTTTCACCCAATTACATTAGATGAACTTAGAGTTATTTGTTTTTCATTAGGAAAATCGGCTGGAGTAGATAATGTTAATGCTAGAGCTATTCAAGATTGCTTTCATGTCATTGGCCACACCTTTCTGGACCTTATTAATGAATCATTGCAAACTGAACATGTGCCACAAATTTGGAAGGAATCCTTAGTGGTTCCTATTCAAAAAGTTGCTGGAACGATTAAAGCCGAAGAGTTTCATCCCGTCAACATGTTGCACACATAAGAAAAAATCTTAGAACTTGTTGTTAAGCGCCAGCTGTAGGAGTATTTGAATAGCAACTCTTTGTTGATACCAGAACAATCGGGGTATCGGGAAGGTCATTCTTGTGAAACTGCATTGAATTTGGTGTTAGCAAAGTGGAAAGACAACTTGGAGCGTAAAGATACGATTGTTGCTGTTTTTTTTGATCTGAAACGCGCTTTTGAAACACTTTCTAGGCCCTTACTGTTAAGTACAATCAAGCGCTTTGGAATTACGAGTACTGCATATAAATGGTTTGAAAGCTATTTGTCTGACAGAACTCAACGGACTGTTTTTAATGATTCTGTTTCCAGTCCCGTGGGGAACAACCTTGGAGTGCCCCAGGGAAGTGTATTAGGGCCTTGCGACGTGTTTTACGGTTTTGCGACATTAATCTTTTTGCAGATGATACTGTGTTATTCATTGCAGCTAAGGATTTAGAAGTTGCCGTCTCACACTTGAATGAAGATTTGCAGTATTTAAGTAGATGGTTGATTGAGATGCTCATCAAGAAAATTGCCAAGAAGTATGGAATTCTATGTCGATTGAAAAACGATTTAACTATTGCCAGTAAAATACAGCTAAACAAATCAATCATCTCTCCTCATCTAGACTTTTGCCCATCCATTTTATTTCTGTCCAATGCAACACAAATATCGAGATTACAGCGCTTGCAGAATAAAATAATGCGTATGATTTTGAGATGTAATAGATTCACTTCCTCAACTTTGATGCTAGACGCCTTACAATGGTAGTCGGTGAAGCAAAGAATTGTATATTTGACTATGGTGTTCATTTTTAAAGTAGTTAACGGTTTGCTGCCTCGATATTTGTGTGATCGAATTGAAAGAGGAAGTGACTATCATAGATATAATACTAGAAACGCGGATGAAATAAGAACACCACATTTCTTGACTTGCGTTTCACAGAATTCATTATTTTTTAGAGGAATAAATGTTTTCAATTCGATGCCTAGACACATTAAACGTGCAACAACATTAGCAGAATTTAAGAGACATTGCATTTCACACGTTAAAACTGTTTTTTGAACGGTTATCCAGTGATTTTTTTTATGAATTGACAAATTATGTATCTTGACGAAGTTTTTTTAACGGATTATTTTGTATGGATAGGACTTTTTAATAATTATTGTAGCACTGCAAAAACTATTTTGTTCGCCACGATGGTGATGATGGATTTTTGATATTTGATTTAATAGTTGTAGTAAAAAAAACAGTAGTCTACAAAGGCTTGAGCCTCGCGCGCGTATTACGGATATAGAGGACTGAATTTAACATTTGATAAAAAAAAAATGCAATTTTGAAGCTTATTTGGAAGATACCTTGAGTTAGTAGTAAGTTTTCTGGCAAATGTTGGGAGTTCGTGAGCATTCCTGACATTGCTGAAAATTATGATAGCATCAGATTGCGGGGTTACTAGTGTAATAGGATGCTTTGTTGATTGTTCATTAACTCTTGATTGCTTGTAATACTTGTGAATATTTTAGGTGGACAAAAAGGCGAACTAAGAGGTGGACGCCTGAGCTTTTCCACATTTATATCGCTGTGAAGCAACTGTAAACTCTAGAGGGAATTTATATCTGTAACTGAAACCAGTTCGATTTTGTTTGCCAACCTGGTTAAATTACCTTAAAGATAAATCGTCCAGCTCAAACCTTTGTAGGGGTAAGAGGTGGGACCACCATTATCATCACCTATTGAAAGTGACGCGATAAATGTGTTTCTTTTGATCTGCTCATCCTTTTTCTGTTTTATGAAGCTTTGCAACCACTTGGAGGCAGCAGAGTTGAACAACCAATTCCAAGTGAAACCAGAACGTGCTATGTATACATTCGAACTCCTAGGCTTACCTCGAAGTAATAGCTGATAGATGTAGTCAATATTGGGTCAACTTGTTTTACCTGGCATCAGCATATTAAAAACCTTAACTGTGTAACCTTACTACGGAGGAATCAAAATCTGAAATTTTGCATCAAGCTCAACTGCGTATATTGAAGCTATGGGAGAATCAGTTACAAAAAAGGGAGTTTCACTGAACACCGGCAAGGATGGAGCAAGTAAACGATTTACTTTTCAAGGGCAAAGCGTAGCGACCTGATGGTGTACATGACGTCCGCTAATCGACCCATCAAGCAGATCATCACAGAACAGAACAGAACTTCAGATCAGAAGGTGGCTCGTCTTGTAATTTGCCAACACTAGCGCACCTAGCGGTAGAGGGAATCTTCTGCCTTCAGTTAAGATAAGCAGTATGCTATGAAAGTGTGACTGCGCATAGAAAGCCCGTGTGGAACGCTACCACAACACATCTCTTGTTGAGCAGAAAAACGAACCACTCTTTGATTCACCGATTTGTTTGCACTTTCCCCTTCTGTTCTGTGAGATCATCTTGCGTTGCATAACGAGCCTTTCGGTCCACTGGGTTATCTTCGTTCACCGTTCATGGAAAAGGTCTGTTACAAGATACTTGCGGTCCGGTAGTGGGACGAACGAGTTAATGACGAATGTAGCGTTTCCCATCATCGAGAAAGTCGAAATGCTATCTATTTACGAGATGCTCCACCGTCAGGCTACGAGAATGCATGTTCAGTAGAGTGATGCAAAATTTGAAATTTTCGTTCCCCAGTACTCAAACGTATAGTCGCTATATTCCTGTAGTCTGGCGGATAAAATTTCGATCTATCAAAAAGCGCAGACCAACAATTGAAAAGGTCCTATCAACTTTTATAAACAAAACGTTGATTATTCTTTCCTCGACAATCGAACGCAAATTACCGGCATCCTCGGATAGTAGAATCTTTCGCCAACTCAAATATAGTGTTAGTTTGCTTAGACGAGCCTTACATCACGAGAAAATGGTTTCCGAAGTTTTGTTCGCAATAGCTGATGGGCTCTTTTCTGTTGTTGGTCGTGATTTGCTCGATTGGTTCCGCTATTTGACAGCTCAATTGGTTCCCGAGATTCTATCCGCCAGACTATGAATATAGCGACTATACTCAAACGGTGGCAACTAATTTAGCACAAACCACATAAAGTTTTTATGGATACTACTAGGAACCTATGGGAAGACCAAATTTTGTTTGTTCACAATTTCTTAGTCTTTCCCGATATTGTTGAGCTAAAATGATAGATAACTGTACTTAGTTAGCTACAACTACAGTAACTGGCAACCGTAAGAATCATGTGTCAGCCGGTTCGTATTGGGGAGAGGACCACCGATCGTCATATTGTGGGATAACGGTTCCAATCTGAATGCAGCTGCAGGAACAGATTCGGTGCATAAATACTGCTTCATCCCCCTCTTCTGCGCCACTCAATATAGCAGATATGTGGAGGTCGACACTAACGAAGGACATCGACTGAACGATAAGGTATTGATCTCTATTCAGCGCCGCGTGTCACCATGTCATGTGAGATGACTTTCCGATCTCCGGGCAAATCAAATGGAGAGTCACCACACTTGTGACAGTGAGTCACGTCATCTCACTCGCGGCGCAGAATAGGCCTCATTGCTCATGATGATTTCTGCAGCGCAAGGGATAGACAAGAAGATGTCAGAAGAACATGTATATGGTTTGCCACAACCGCAATCCTGAAGCTTTCTGAGATTCTATTTTACTTTCGATGTCTAGGACTTTCATACTGTAATTATTTTTATAGGTAACTTTAAAAAGTTTGGGATGCTCAGAATTTATCCCATTTCAGAATCATGTATTTTTCTACGTTCCAGATCCTTTTTTTCTGAGATGTGCAGATGATCATTACTTAAAAGATACACGTCTGGTTTCTTCCGTAGTCCTCTCAAACTCAACAGATATAGAGAACCTTCAGTAGAATATTGGTAATATTCTTCGCTCATAATGAAACTATCGAAAATCGATCGGTACCTAAGAGGATGCGTTTCTTTCATGATCAGTAAAAAATACAAAAATCATTTTTAACTTATTGTTCATAAATAAATATATATTTTTCATCGTAAAATACGCATGGTACCGCAAATTAAAATGATAACAAATGAATAAAGAAAATCATACGATATCGTGTGCATATTTTCCAGCTCCCAAATTATCAGATAACAGTAATACGGGTAGCTCAACGCAGTCATTATTCACTGCTTAGTCGCCTTGGAAACCTCGTCCGGACTTAGATCGCCACCTGCGCTCGATGACGCTTCGTCTATCTTATCACCCATGACCTGCTGCTTATCCCCATTATCATCATCATCATCATCATTGCAGCCATCAGCTGATGAAGGCAGTGGCACTGACGAGGCCCGCGACCCAACATTTATCTTGCCGACCTGTTTGATAACGGCTTCAATTTTATCGGGCAGCAGATACTCAATCGGTTCCAAGATTTTCTTCTGTCGGAAATAGGTGATGCCATGCTTCTGGAGCGTCAGCACATTGATCCCAAGGTGGTTGGCGATGGTCGTCGGGGGAAAGATGAAGTGAATGCAGCGCTGCAGGTAGGGGATAAGATCGTATGCGAAGCACGAGCAGAACCGGATGAAACATTCCCGCTCGGTGGCAGTGAATGCTTGCTGCTCTTGCCGGTAGAACGAAAGTATGTTTTTGCAAACGTTCTCCAGGGAAGCTTCGATAATTTCGGTCACCGTAGGCGCGAGAGCGATCGGTGCACATAATCGGAGTTCGTTGAAAACTGTAAGAATTTCGTTGCAGTATAGGGCGAGCGGTGTGAAATCCAGTAGACTTTCCGGTGGGTGGTTGCTGTTTTCGGTTTTGTCACCCGATTTGGTTCTTTTGATACCGGTGGGAACCTTGTTTATCAAGGTGTAACGTTCGATTTCCTGCTCAAACTGACGTGTGATCTTCACGATGGAATTTTGGAAATTGAGCGAGATTACCCTGATGAACACGGGTGCAATCAGTGACCGGAAATCAACTCCAACTCTGCTAAAAGACAAACCGAAGTACATGCACTGGCCAAGAATGGTATCATAGGAATTGATGTCATTCGAAGCGAGATCTTTCTCCAGTGTGTTAATGAAGTCCACTATCTGGTCATGTAGCCAACTGTGGAATATCTTACTCCCATCGGCAGCGTTGTGGTCCGAGGTTATTGTAGACAAGCCGGAAATGGCATCTTCATCTTCCGGAAAGATCGCGCGGTACTGCGTAATTATGTTGAACAAGTGCACACGTGTGGCTTCAATCGTTTTCGTTAGGTGAAGGTGAGCTGAAAATGAAACATTTTCATATGAAGTTTTCATTCTAAATTAGCGTGAAATACTGACCATCTTCTTGAGGAATTTTTCCTAGCAATTCCTTAAACCATCCAGTCCTAATTTGAAGAAATTTCAGTTTCAATTCAGCAGTCGAAAAAGCTTGCATTCTCCGTAGGTAGCCAACGACCTGCAGACACTTGGGTAGTTGAAGATCTGTTCGCAGCTGGGACAGCAGTTGAACCAACATCGTGTGCCACGCTGCTTCCACGGCTGTTCGAATGTTCTGTTCAAATAAATCCACATTAACCTCCAACATGCATTCCTACTAAAATTTTCTGTTTGTCTTACCCCAATAATTGGAATGTTTCCATGTTTCGTACCGACACGCTGCACGTAGGCAGCCAGTTCCAAAGCTTCCTCATATTTCCCCTCCCGGATACATGTCTCCATCAGCTGCGGCAGCTCCAATATTTCCAACAGTTCGGCATTCCGCGTCAACGTCAGCGAATTCAACCGTCTTGCACTGTTGATATTGCTCGAGGAGTCCAAAAATTTCTGACAAGTCTCCGCAAAGTTGGGCAATTTCTTGCTCAAACTATCCACCCGTTCCTCTGTTTGGACAAACTTCCGGTAGATTTCCCGCGAACATTCCGCCGTCTGGATAAACGTTTTGTAGTTGTTGACGGCCAGTTCCTGCGTCTGCTCGACATTCTGTTTGCTTTCGTCCTGCAACCGGATCTTTTCCTTCTTCAGCTGGTCCACTTTGTACGAGCCCAGCTTGAACATGTAATCCATGACATCCGGGGCACTGTCGCTGTTGAGGACGTCTGGAATGAAAAGTAGTGAGCATTTACTTCATCTCGAAACGATTGCCATGCTTTACCTTCATAGCTTTCGGGAAACACCAATTTTAACACCTTTTCGTTCTCATAATCCATTTTCGAAACGATGATTGGGTAAATTTGTTTAAAAACACGAAAAAGAATCCTTTGAGCAGGCTGAAATTTTCTAATGTTTACGTTTCATTGCATGATGTGTAAGGGAACTGTCAAATCTGTGTAGATTTGTGTTTGTGGGTGTGCGATAAATCGTCCGAATCAACAACCAGTCAGCGAACTGCGTATATTACTACTACTAGAAAAACCGTTATAATGCTTGTAAAAGCATCGAACTGAAACAACGGTTCATTTCCGCACCAACGATGTTCATTCTATCGATTGTTGTGTTTGTACAAACTCGTACCACTACTACCTACCTAACTCATGAATGAAACTTTAAAATTAGGGGTCCGCAAATGGTCAATGTTCAGAGTGCAGATTTTCTCTTGATTAATTTTTGAATTAATCCTATCTCTTCGTCGATAAAAAAAAGTCGATTAACTTTTTTATGTTTAATCTTTATTTGTTCCAAATTCAAATTAAATTAAATTTCATTTTAAGGTGCCCCAGCTACTACAGTAACTTACCAGTCTACATAAAGAGAAAAATTATTATTAATCGTTGCAATTGGGTTCTTTAGGGATATTGAGGTAATTGCATATTCGTAATTTGCATGTCAAATGGAACCGAAATCAAAAATTTCGTATATGCACACTAAGATTATTTTACCGAAATCTGTGAAATTTTACCGAAATCTCAACAGCTGAACGTTCGGTAAACAGTTCGGTGATTTTTCACAGATTCGGTGAAATATTACAGGAAATCTGTAAAAAATCACCAAACTGTTTACCGAACGTTCAGCTGTTGAGATTTCGGTAAAATTAATAAAGAAAACTAAACTAAACTTCGGTAAAATTACACAGATTTCGGTGAAATAATCTTAGTGTGATAGGTTTGAGCACTGGAACTATTTTAAATAAGTGTGATTACATTAGTAAAAATTACCTTTTTGCGCCCCTCGGTGGTACTTTGTACACTGAACCAAAACATCATCCTTTGATCGATTATTCCTTCGGATATGTCCTTCGGAAGGGAATTAAAGCCGTTGGTCCCGGCCCATGTGTGTTGAATGGGTGCGATATCCTATGCATGTGTGGAAGCTGCCTTCCTGCACATTCGATTGCCGTCAATGGATGGCAATTGATGTCCGTCGGTGATTGGCACTAGATTGAGGAGCAGAGACCGACGTTAAATAAAGGAAAGAAGATGATTTTGAGATGATTGTCATTCAATTCATCATCTGTTAAAACCACAACAACTTGGATACTTATCATCCTAATCTAGAATGATTTTAGTTCATTTTTTGAAAGCATACGTAGACGTAAATCAAATGAAAATAATAAGATAATTAAATACTTTTCTTATTTATATTGAGGGATAGTTGTAGCAATATTGTATATTGAAAATAGGTAATATTTTAAGTATTACAATGCTTTATTTTTATATAATTATAAGTAGAGTTGATCTTACAGTCCGTACCTAGGTCCGTACACCTTTGTACCTCGAGCTAAGTGGTTCTTTCGAAGGTCTCAACAGCTCCGTGAGTATCTCCAAACTGGAGTAAGCATTGGATGTGATTCATGTTCGCAATCGGCTTCAATGCAGTTGCACCAACAATCAATACGAAACTAACGATTTTAAATTGGCTCACCACTTTAGTAGCCTATTGGTCCCAAGCAAACGATTAACGTACCCTATTCTAGTTGAAATTCTATTACTACACTATGTTTGTTTTGATTCGCTATGAAAGTTTGACAGATAACATCAGGGGTGTGTGGATTTATGCAGAACATGCAGGGGTGAGTGAAATAGCTTGGGACTGCTTGGGACCGTTGTTCTGGTACTGGGTGAGCCAAAAATAATAATGATTTTCTTCGGGACCTACTAGTCTTAGAGTTACCTCTATGGTTGCACCCTCCGCTCCGCTCCCGCAGGTCGTGGTCCCCTTCGTTATCGTTGACCTGATTATCGAACACCGATCCCGTCTGCAGTGCTTCTAGGAAACTGTCCGTGACATGTTCCCGCGTCCGAACGACATCGTTGTAGAGCAGCTTTCGTTGCTACCGTTCCTGCATCTCCTGCTGGGAACGTTTTTCGGCCACCAGTGTTCGGCGTCTTTATGAAAGAGGTTCAGAGAACTTCTTTCTGTGCACAATTATGTGGTGAACGATCACCTGCACTGTAATTATATTAAATTGAAACCATATTAATTAATTTAATTTAAACCGAAGTATAAACTAATCTAAAACTTACATATCGTTGAAGATAAAAGCAAGGATAAAAGCCTACAAAAACTCAAAATTCAATTTGAAAAATTAAAGTTACGTGCTTTTAAACATTTTAAATTGGCTCACTACTTGACTAGCCTATTGGTCCCAAGCAAATCGATCAAAATTCTAGTACCTCTATGATAGTATCATAAAGTTAACTCTAAGACCAGAAGGTCCCGAAGAAACGAGATCAACTTTTTGGCTCAGCTCTGGTACTATCTTCGGTCCCAAACTAATCGATTGATCCCTCGAAACATAAGAAAATCCACTAACCCCTCATTTTATCTGTCAAACTTTCATAGCGAATCAAAACAAACATTGTGTAGTAGTAGAATTTCGACTAGAATGGGATACGTTAATCGTTTGCTTGGGACGAATAGGCTAGTCAAGTAGTGAGCCAATTTGAAATCGTTAGTTTCGTATTGATTGTTGGTAGTACCATAGAGGTAACTCTAAGACTAGAAGGTCCCGAAGAAACGTGCTTAACTTTTTGGCTCAGCTCTGGTACTCTCTTCGGTCCCAAGCTAATTGATGCACCCTTCGAAACATAGGAAAATCCACGAACCCCTCATTTTATCTGTCATACTTTCATAGTGAATCAAAACAAACATAGTGTAGTACTAGAATTTCGACTAGAATGGGGTACGTTAATCGATTTGCTTGGGACCAATAGGCTAGTCAAGTAGTGAGCCAATATAAAATCGTTAGTTTCCTATTGATTGTTGGTAGTACTGTACCAGGGAGGCAACTTCAAAATCATCTTCAGAACTTTGTTCTGAATTCTTTGAAGTGCTTTCTCCTGGTCTCTGGATCTCAACAATGATGTAATTCTAATCCAATTCTGTTAATCATTATGAGTTTTAGCCCAGAATGAATGAGAAATAAACCAAATGCAGCTTGAAACATGTTCATCAAACAAAGATACAGCCATTTAAAAATGCATGATTAGAAAGGTTAAGCAGGCCTGAACTAAACCATATTGGCACAGCATAAAGCATGGTCGGTTTGAAAACATGGAGTTTGGATTTCCTGTTTATAAGAGGATACAAACATTTTATATATTTGTTACATTTGGCTTGGATGCCCTCAATGTGAACTTTGAGAGTTAACTTTTGGTCTAGTACTAGTCAAATATATTTCACTTGTTTTGACCAGGAAATTGGAACTCCGTTCATAGTGACTATGTGACTACTCTTCTCTTCTTATTTACAAAAATGGAAGATTTCTCCCAACACACTTAGCTTATTATATTTCCAGAATAGCCTAGAGCTTCCTTTTTGAAAACCAGTAGTAGCATAGAGGTAACTCTAAGACTAGAAGGTCCCGAAGAAACCTGCTCAACTTTTTGGCTCAGCTCTGGTACTCTCTTCGGTCCCAAGCTAATCGATGCACCCCTCGAAACATAGGAAAATCCACTAACCCCTCATTTTATCTGTCAAACTTTCATAGCGAATCAAAACAAACATAGTGTAGTGCTGGAATTTATACTAGAATGAGGTACGTTAGTCGATGTGCTTGGGACCAATAGGCTAGTCAAGTAGTGAGCCAATTTAAAATCGTTAGTTTCCACCGGTTGCTTCAACCCTTCCAGCGCACACCACTTTGGAGGACTGTGGAAAGCCGCGGTAAGATCGGCCAAACACCATCTTCTACGGGTCATCGGTTATAACCCAGTCACACTGGAAGACATGAATACGCTGTTGATTCAAGTAGGGTGTTGCTTGAATTCCAGACCTCTGACTCTGATGTCCGACGATCCAAATGATCTAGATGCGTTAACCCCAGCTCATTTCTTGGTTGGAACATCCCTACAATCGTCTAAGGCATTGGCAGTTAGTGCATCAGCAGTTGCAACATTTCTAGGATCGGTGGAGGAAAGAGTACCTTTGCCAGTTGCAAGGCAGATCCAAGCGCTGGAATCCATCTGGTCTGATTAGAATCGCATATTTGTGGATTTTTGTCATTTTTAAGATAATAACGCTATATCCACTATCAATTCTAGATAAAAATTTCAAAAGATCCTATCTGCATTGATCGATTCTCTTCATCGACTTTCTCTTTAGTCAATAACTCCCTGTTGTATTTGACGTTCTGGACGCTAGATAAGAACATCCTTTATCAAACCATGTGGTAGAATTAGCGCGAAATTGTTTGCATAACAGTGGTTATGCAAAGAGAAAGTCGACGAAGAGAATCGATCAAAGCAGATAGGACCATTTGAAGTGTTCATCGAGAATTGGTATCTACTTTCATATTACGTGATAAAACTACGAACTTTGATCATGAACAATGTGAAAACAACATCAAGTCAGTTTATCCCATCAAGCAAATAATCAGTCCCATCCTGAAATTCAATCGTCCAGAGGTCAAGTTTCAAGTTACAGTTCTGCTTTTTGAATCGCTTTATTTTTCGTTAATATAACAATACATGCAAGTTTCATTGCAACTGATTTTAACTTGACAAAATTATCGATTAATTTACTATGATTGTGTTAATATTTACATGGAAATTGCACTTCTTAACTTCTACTGCCATTTTCTCAATGCCTACTTTTTCCATATGGGACTGATATGGAGTTATAGCATAACGCAGGGCTGGTAGTGCTGATGCGATATAATAGTAGTGACTTTTGTAACTAAAATTACGAAAATAGTGACCAAATAGTGACTTATAAATAATAAATATGGTAACTCAGAAATTCGAATACGGTTTGATACTGAAATGATTTCCATTTTTTTTTGTCATGGAACCTAAAATTACATTTCATAAATTCCTCTAATTATATCGATCTAT